TAGTATTATGTATGCAGAGCAGACTATATAACTCACCTTCAGTCAAGAGCTTTGCACATTTTTTTTCACTTGTGTCATGGTATTAGATTAGTGACTAACATCAGGTGCATTCTACACAGCTATAATTCTAACTGCACATTAATACTGGAATGTGACTGAAACCACAAAGTTTATTACAATCTCAAATTATCTATATATCTGTTCTTACATGTAATAATGCTTGAATTTGATGTAACACCTTATCACGCTGTTGAAACATCTCAGGATATACTGTGAAGTGGTGTGACTGTGTCATTTATGGACAATTTAGTTCATTTATCAGGGCAGAGATGTTAATTGGTGTGTGCATTTAAAACCTCAAAGCCAAATGCGTCTGGGTTTGTTTCAAGCTTGCCTTGAACTCTCTCATGAGCAAATATGATCAGAACAGAAATCCCCCAGGGCATCCATGTTTGTGTTCCCTATCTTCCTTTCTGTGTGATCCACGTCACTGTTCAAACAGTACGCAAGTAAATTGATACACAGCCAAATGATGTATGTCAACAGAGGAAAGCGCACCAGGCATTTAAGGTCACAGGAGCTCAATATCAGCTTAGGAGAAGTGGGATTTTTTTTAATCATAATGGTCTGAAGGGGGGGAATGGAATTCAACTCTGTCAGGCAATAAGCTGTAAGACTCAGCACAAATTTCACAGGCCAACGTTTGTCAGGGAACTGAATTAGCCTGAGTAAGTGATACGGTCATCTAGGATAGCTCAACGTTCGTCAACGTGTTATTTCAACTCCCTCGCATAGCCAGCTCAGGAATTTTCCTGAGTCAGTCCTGGATTCCCAAATATGTTCATTGGAGCTCCTGACCACAGGTGTCTGACAAAGCTGAGACAGTAACAGCATTTGAAAGGGAATTGGATTTTTATGGTCAGAAGCATGCAGAAACCCATCACCACGCTTAGGAGTATCTTTTAGGCAGATAATTGGCTTTTTCGTGTAAAATATAAGATTGGAATTTCTCTGGTGTAATAATACTTGCATTTAATGTTGGGTCTTACCATGTCATCAAGATGTCTCAAAGCGCTTCACAGGATTTTACTGTATTTGCAGCAGTCACTTTGCACACTGCAATGAATGTCTCACAAACAGCCACAAAGTGAGCAACCGATTTTATTTGAAGTGACAATGACCCTCCTAGGGAAACTTTCCTGCTTCCAAAGTGAAAAATATTCAATTGAGAGTACAAGGCAATTAACGATGGGTGCTTCATCTGATAAAACACCGCAAGAACAGCTGAAATCGCTGATGTAAGACTGATTGGTACTGGCTCAGAGAGCCTGAAGGGCTATTTCTTCCAGTTTCCAATTGAGCGCACACTGTCAGGATACTGGAAGTTCTTCTCCTGACATCTGTTTTCATCATGTTTCACTCGCAGCACTGCGAGCCTCTGCAGAAAATGGAGACTGAAAGATGGCTTGTTTTCGGGGGGAAAAAAGTGACATTGCAGCATTCAGTCAAAAATAAACATTGTGTGGAAGTGGTGGTGGTGAGGGGTAGCGATAAAGTGTGTGAGGGTGGTGGGGGGAGAATTTATGGAGGAAAGGGAAAGAGAAAGCCATTATCAGCCGCATAAGATTTTTCGAAGTCTGCACACCCACTTCGGTTTCCTCAATGTATGAACCATTCTCAGATTCAAAGGGATATGTTGACAATCTCTACCCAAGTTAACCAGTGCTGGCTTGCTGGAGGGGGGGTCACTCCTGGGAAGGCCATGTGAAAGGCAAGATTGTTTTTCTCCTTTCAGCTGTGACTGGAAGGCATCTATCTCACAGTCACTTGCTGCTTCCCCAAATGGGTCCAGCAAAGCAATGGTTGTTTTTGACCCACATTTTCTGCCCATAGGGATATCTGCACTCGAGTTTCTCTCAAGACATATTCAATATCCATCTCAGCAAACTCTTTACCAGTGTGCTTATTTTTCTCCCAGCAACAAAATCGGAGCAATGAGGTCCGAATTACAACAATAATAAAAATAAATGCAATTTGGTACAGTGTTAATAACATCGGAAAGTCTCACAGCATTTGCAGGTGAAATGCTGCTCGTTCGGATGCATAACTTCAAATACTGACCGCAAGTTTATAAAACTCACAGGCAAAAAGTAAGCATTTTTTTATTTTTAAAGCACTGAAATGGACATTCTTGATCAATTTCACTTTGCAGACATCCACCTAAGAGCCAGGTTTGACTGGTCTGACCTGGTGTGGAGGTTGGACATGCACCACTTTTTAAGCAAAACTGTTGGACATTTGCTTGGTTTGTTTGATGGTCACAGTCCACAGCCACGTATTCTCCTCAAACATTACAGCCCTTGTCCAACTAGCACTGGCTTTAATAATAGCAAAGTTACAGCAATCAGACAAATCCTTCAATTGTACAGTATTTCTTTCAATTTCCCAGGATTATTTCAAGAGTTGCTTTTAGCTGGACAGAAATGAAGTCCAAGTGTAGATGACAATTCACAAATTAGTCATTATAAATGATCATTTTTGCAAGTTTATTTTATAATAGTCCTTGCATTTGATTTAGTGCCTTATCACGTCATTGAGAGGTCTCAAAGCACTTCACAGGGTATAGTTTATTTTGTGTTTAACTTTAAGGCTGTAATGGTTAAAGTTCTACCACATTTGCTTGCAAGTATACACTTTCATGTTGGTAGGATGTCTCAAAAGTACTTTAAACACAGCTGTCTTGGGGAAAGGGGAGAAGGGAGATAGATGAAGAGAGAAAGATGACCAAAAGTACTGCCAAAGATTTGCAACAGAAAACTCAAACAAAGCAAAGATGGGTGCACCTAAATACAAAGTGAATTTTATTAAGGTTTTCAAAATGCAAACATTGCAAGTTAATTTTAAAAATAAAAGAGTTCCGAGCTGACAATTAATGTTATCTGCATAGGTCCTGGGAATGTGTACATCATTTGCTCACAAAGTACATGAATCAAAACACTACAGAACACACCCTACTCCGGTTTTAAGATGGGGGAGGGAGGGAAAAGTATTGGCATTTCAGTATATTTTATATGTGATAGAAAACCAGAAATTCAAAGGAAATTAGGTTTAGTGGCTGTTTTGTTGGTCTGTTCAACCTGAAATTCACAACTCAAAACAGAATACTTCCTCCTCGTCCCCCCAAAAAAATTATAATACTGTAAACTATATACAAAGCAAAAGCTGAAAGTTTCACTCCAATGTTAATGTAATACATTTTTAATTTATAAGTCGAAATTCTCCCTAAATTCATGATCAACTGAGGAAAATTCCATCCATTGGTATCAACAAATTATTTATTCTCCTTGCGAGAGTGCTTTATTTTGTAAATGGACTCGGGACACTGCTTATAATGTACAATGGCACGATCACAGTGAAAGGAAGGACTGAGGCAAGCATTTGCTGGAGGCATCGCCACATTTAGTTGCTGACGATCAAATAAATAGTTCACTTTCCACAACAAAGGTTACTTGCCTGGAATTCACATTGACAAAGAAAAAAATAATACATGTATGTACAATTTCTCACGCCTTCCCAAACTATAAAATAGCCTTACTCTGCAAATGCAATGCTTGTGCTAACAAGCAAGAAACATGCATTCTGGGCAGGTAGGGTGTTGGCTTCACTAGAGTTCACGTATATCTATTATATACTATAACATGAGGCCCCAAAATGAGAAGAGGCCTTCAATCTACTCAACAGAAATGCTTCATCACCAGACAAATTTTCAAATGGAAGGCTGGATGGAGACATAAGAATCAAAGGCAAAAAGCCCATTCTTCCCACCCTGAAATGGTTTCTTCGCTTCTGAAGAATGCAGTGACCCTAAAGCAGTGCCATCGCTGACTGACCACAGTTGAACAAGTCATCGGCAGCAACAAAGATTGGCGGCAACGCAGTTGCCACTGGTATTCTTCACACTAAGCACTGAGAGCAGAATTCTGAAGTTAACGCTGTGGGCTGATTTGTTTGGCTGGAAGAAATCAAGACTTTTGTACGTTATTCTAGAACACCACAGTAGCCACAGTAACAAAACTGTACAAATAGAACTTTACAGCATGGATCCTGTACATTTAATGCAGAGCCATAAATCAAGATAGTGGCTGAATGTTTGCATCAGGACAGGCTTTTATTCAAACTTAATCTATAATAATGCGGTCCAATGCATCTTATATACCCAAAAGCAACATTCAGGGACTCTTTTGCTCCCAGACAAAGCCAAGAATTGCGAGCGAAAACCAAAACGTTAGACCCCACTGTCGAGTATCCCACTGGAATTGTCTAAATACGACGCTCAGATCTGTAATTACGCCGCAGTGCATACAATTGAGGAACTGTGTGACCCACATTCATTAATCGAAAAAAAAATGTTTTATCGATGCACTACAATTCTGCCCGGGGAAAAGCTCACGTTATGTGCATAATGGCCACTAGAGGGCAGTAATGGGAACACCTTATTTACAGAGATGGGAGACTGAGTGACTGACTGGATTCTGCCCTATCGCAAAATACACCTTTCATAAAGTAATGTACTACGTCTGTAAACTAACCAATTCGTTCTGCTGTTGCAAAAAGGTACAGCTTTCTCCTGCTTTTTCATATTATTGCTTTATCGAGTCCTAAAAGATAGCAACGTAACCAGTGTTTTCAGTTCCGCTCTCGTTTCCCTCTCCCAAATCAATATTAAATCCTTGCATTTCATATAGCGCCTTATCACGTCATTGAGATGTCTCAAAGCGCTCCACGGAATATACTGTAAAGTGAATTAACTGTATATTTTGTGGGGGAAACATGGAAGCCAATTGTGACGTGACCAATTTATTTATTTATTTATTTAGGAGGGATTATTAACCCCGGAAAGCGATCCGCCAATTGACTAACATCTGGGTTGCTACTCACGGTTAGGTAAACAGAGGCATGTGGAGTAAGGAATCTTGCCTAAGGTTTTGCCCCGTCGCTTGCGAGGCAAGTGCTCTAACCAATACGCTACAGGACTCCTCAAAAGTATTATATACACATCAAAGTACTGTGCGGGCTGAAGAGCAGAGATATGGCACTCACGGATCGCCCATGTTTCGGCGATGCACTAAATGGGAACCCATTTGTACGCAGTTCGTGCAACGATGGATTCAAATATAAATAACATTGGAAGATAACAAAACGAATTGCACCACCAATGAATGAAAAACTAAATGTGCAAAATATCGAAAAACTCCACCGCAATTTCCAGTTAAGTAATGGTAGATATAAATAGACGAATTTCCCAGATTAACTAACGTAGCACCTCATGCATAAGAACTCCAGGGGATCTTCAGATGCTGTTTATTCCTACATTAAGGGTTGCTATATGTCCCTCAAACTACGTACAAAGCTTAGCATTTTAAAAAAACAGAATCGACAAAGGAAGAGATTTACATTATCCCAGATCTTGTTTGAACAGTTAAGGGCGTGAGCTTCCGATGAAGAAAAAAAGGGATTTACTTGTAGGTGGAATTTGCGAGTTAGTATTCGAAGGTTTCACATTTGCTTTCTGTGGCACAATTTTGTAACGCCACCAACGCCAGAACCCTCCCAATCAAAAGTTGTCGGAATGTAAGGTAAACACCTATCGAGTGCCTCAAATCAATACATCTACGCAATCTGTAGAGTAATGTGCAAATTAGATGGTGTGTAAATGCACAGGGAATTCCAGTTAGAGCTAAGGCCTGCTGGCAACCAGGCTGAGAGAAGAGCTGGGCTGAGATAAAGCTGCACAGTGTTTCTGGTGCTGCGTGCAGAAGGCTGGGTCTATAGGTTTTCGCCAGGCTGATACTGAGGTTCAGTGGACGTGAAGTAGTCTTCTAAGAAGGACTGTAAATACTCAAAAGTCGGCCTCTCTTCAGCCTCCTTCTTCCAACACTGGATCATGAGTTCGTGAAGAGAATCCGGGCATTCTGGTGGGCAAGGCATTCTGTATCCACGTTCCACCTGGTCCAACACCTCCCGATTTACCATCCCTGTCAGTCAAAGCAGATCGACATCAGTCAGGGTTTAAGAACCCTTCAGATTGTGGAAGGAACAAGAAAACTGGCTTCAAAGTTAAGACGCAATTGAACAACGACGAATTCAACAATTTGACGAATTCTGGACACTTTGAAAGACTAAGAAAATAAGAGTAAATGTAGAGCCAGGTGGAATTTCTTTCTATTTGTCTCTAACTTGAATGTTTCTCTCTAAATTATCACTTACGCACTGATCTGATTCACCATTAATTCAAAAGCTGCAGCAAAAGCCTAATTTGTATCATGGCAATCCTGTGTCATGTCGGCTGCATTCAGCTGGAATCAGGATAATCTGAACTGATTGCAATCTCCCGGCGTTTACACTTAATGGCTGGCCAGATTCACTTCAATGCACGCTGTTCAATTACCGGCCTATCTCTATGTGCTTAGTCCTTAACTTGCGCAGAATAAAGCAGAACATTTTCATCAGGCATCTATGCCAACCTGATGTGCTTAATCACCTGCTTCACTGCCCAGCACCACAGCAAAGTGCAGATGGAAGATGTTTATACTCCCATCCATGAATTGAGAAGGACCAGGGGACTATTTATAGCTATAATATAATATATATAATATATAATAATAATATAGAGTTAACTATTTAACTAGATTCTCCATCTGACTTGCAAATTTGCATTTGCTGTGGTATAACTTGCATTTATATAGCGCCCTCCACACTTGCATGGCAGTGTCTCAGAGCAATAACCAGGATCCGATACTGTGCTCCGATGATCCAACATTCCCGTTGAACTTTCTAAGTCGCCCAAGATATGACCTCAATTTATCTGATGAATCCGAGCTCTTGGATCATCGATAACGCTCACAGCTTATTTTGCAAAATCCGCAGCTTCTCTGCTACGCAAATATCTGAAACCCTCGGAGGATTCGAGGAAAACTGCTAACCGCAAATCCAGAAATATCCATCAGGAAAGCAAGAGGGCGGATTTGATGTCTGAATCATGATTTCTGAATATCTCAAATTAGGTCCCATCATCATGGCACATTCCTGTGTTTCAGACCTGATTCACGTCCTAACTCTGAGGCCAATTATTGATGCTACTAACTCACAGTGTAGGTGCAGACAAGGATCTTAAAGTCAAATCCATGTAACCCACACAATGTGCACCCGGCGTTAACATCCAAACAAGTACAGTAAGCTAGGCTTGTCCAGGTTTATTGCCCAATTAACTATCAACACTGCCTGATAACCATTGAATTTCGAATTGAAATGAGCAGTGATAGCTTCCAGGAAGGTGTGTGGTGGGGGGGAGGGGGGTGGGGAGTGGTTGGGGGGGACAACCGTAAATTAAAACCATGCGTTGTTTGCAAGGTGTTGAAATCTATGGTTGCATTTACAGCAATCGGGGGGAGGAGGGGATTGTGATCATTTGTATGCAGTTCACACACCAGCCAGGATGCTGTCGTACTGCGCGCTGGTTAATCAGCAGAGAATCAACATATTTGATGAACGCAAAAGCCAAGAGGCGTGCACCAGAGACCTGACACGTGATCCTTCAGAGGAAATCAAACGTGTCTCCCAATCTCAAAACACTTGTCTCAGGGGGCTTAGAGAATATTGACATAGTCATTAATTCACCCGCGCTCTCTCTCTCTCTCTCTCTCTCTCTCTCTCTCTCCTCCTCCCTCCCTTCCCCCCCCACCCTTCCCTCTCTCTCCTCCATGAATATATATACTTTTTAATCATAATTCTTCACAGGCGTCATCCAGCACTTTATTGAAAATAATTAAAAAATCAATCAAAGCTGCTACATGTATTTGGATTAAAAGGTATTAACCAAAGGCCTGAAATTCAACCTTGCCTTAACCTTAAGAACTGCTGGTTGTGTGGGGGAGAGGTGGGTGGCTCGGGAGTATACTCATCAGCATGCACCACAACTTGGCAGGAACAGCACAGTTCAAGACATGTCCCCTACACTCACGACTACCTTGGATTTACTACAGACACATCTGTTGTCTGTTACTAATTGTTGGATGCTTTGAGGTTCAACAACAGCTTGCATTTGCATAGTAGGCTCCATGCGGGATAGGGTCTTGGAGCCCCGATCACCGTTTAATGTCCAGCTTAATGTGCTAATTTTAATTAATAATTATTATTATTATTTCATTATTATTATTATAATCTTAATTAGGAGATTTACCTGGATATGGCACTCTCCCCTTCGTGGCGAGCTCAGTCATCAGAATTCCAAAGGACCACACATCGGATTTGATGGTGAAACGGCCGTATAGTGCTGCCTCGGGAGCTGTCCATTTGATGGGGAATTTGGCACCTTTATCAAGTCGGAATCAACAGGGGGATAAAATGTCAGATACGAAAGCACTTTGCCAGTGATTAGCTACAAGTGTTACATTACTCACTCAGCATATCTTGTTACTCCATAAACTGTTTGACTTAGACATTGAATGAAAGAAAGCTTAAATAATTAAAGAAATATTAAATAATCCTCCAGAGCAATCAATACAAATGCAACCTCATTGGAGGGAGGAGTCATTTAATAAAGTCGCAGAATAAATAAAGTGACTTATTTCCAGTAAATGTATTTCATTTAGAGCACTTTGTCCCTTACATGATTCTACGGAGACTTGTGAAGACAGTAAGGATTTATGCAAGTAGGGGGCAAATGAACCGTTTAGGTTAAGAAATTAAGAGTATAATTGACGCTTAAATCACAAACACCCAACAAATTAATTTCTGCTAAGTGGATTGGAACAATTGCACTGTTCTACTGTGCTGTTTTATTTGGAGACAGATGCATCACTGAAATGGAACTCAAAGTTTACACTCTGCACATTTTCATTTTAAGAGTGCAAAAAAAAATGCATTATTAATTTAAGAATAAAAAAACAATAATCCTTGCATTTGATATATAATAATAATAATCCTTGCATTTGATATATATGTATATATATAGAGCGATTTAACAGGCCGTTGAGACGTCTCAAAGTGCTTCACACAACATACTGTAAAGTGAAATGACTATATATTTTGTGGGTGAAATGCAGCAGCCAATTGGGCACAATAGTGTCCCACAAACAGTTGTGGATTGATTGACCAAATTGTTATTATTTTATTTATTTATTTTTAAGGGATTATTACCCGCACCAAGTGATCCACCAATCAACCAGGTTCCTACTTACTGCCAGGTAAACTGAGGCATGTGGAGTAAGGAAACTTGCTTAAGGGTTCGCCCCGCCCGGGAATTGAACCCAGATCCTCTCGCTTGCGAGGTGAGTGCTCCAACCACTCTGCTACGGGATTCCACCGTATCAATTTAGAGAGGAAGAAAATAAATGGGGGGGGGTGTGTGGGACAGTGGTCAGGAAATCCTGTAAAACTTTTCTTTTTCAAACTGGATGGTTACAGCTGCTTCTATTTGATGATTTGATCCATCGCTAACCTTGTCGGGCTGTGTATTCATTGTCTTCAATCAATCGAGCCAGGCCAAAGTCTGCCACCTTGCACACCAGGTTTTCGCCCACTAGAATATTAGCCGCTCTCAAGTCTCTGTGAACATAGTTCATCCTTTCCACGTACGCCATGCCAGCTGCAATCTGTAAAATCAAAAGCCTTGTACTCAGCAAGTCAGACAACTTTAGTCCTGGGGAGATATTCTCCGTCGATCGATGAATACCTGTGCCTAGTCAGTGTGCGCTTAGAAAATCCTATTACTCTGGTGTTGTAAAGCTGAGATTCAGATATGGAAAGATTGTGGCTTAAACCACTGCATCACCTCTTGCACCGGACTTGTCAATTGTAGTGAGCAAACAGCATTAAATCCAAAACCAAGCAAACACCATTCATTCAAAAGCAGCTAATTTAGAGCCAACTGCAATAGTGTTGGCTGCTGATCCTAAGCTGAAGATGACTGAATTATCTCCATTTTAGTCATAGCTGGTCAGTCCAACAAGCACTTCTTCGATTCATCAAGTGTCCAATTCATTAGTATTAGTAGCAGTAGCTTAGTTGCAGTGCTCAAGTGTTGCTCAGTTGAATAGCAGCTGCAGTATGATATTTAAAGTCAACGAAAATCTCAATCAGGAGTCAAAACTGGCTCCCTGCTTCAGCTATCCACTGCCACCGACTCTGCTGATATTTTTCAGAAGGACCCAGAGAGAAAAATGATGGGCGCAAGCTCTTCCTTAACTGAAACATGTCCGATCTTCCGTTCACCTTTCAAATTCAAGGTTAACCCCGTGATGTGTCAGCCTGGCTCAGCTGGTTGCACACTCGCCTAGGTTTGTGGGTTCAAGCCCCACATCAGGGCTTTGAGCTCACAGTCTAGGCTGATCCTTCCTCAAGGCTTGCTTTAGAAAACCAAATGGTTACTTTTATATAAATGTTTGCCGAATAGCTTACCTGAGCAGCCATATCGACCAGTTGTGGAAGCCTCAAGTACTTGCCCATCTCTCCTTTAAGGAAATCCAGTAGACTTCCTGCAATGGTAACATTTAACAATGTTGTAACAACAATACAAGTTGTGACACACAGAATGGCTGTGACACCATCTCTACCTGTTCATCTTGCTAAGTGAATGTCGCCTCCCTAATCCACCAATTTCCTCTGCAATCTCCATTCCTACCCTGAAGGCGAAGGCTCATTACTGATATCAAGATCCACTGGTGCCAGTGACTGTCTGGTACCTCTGCAAAGATATCCAGCACATGTTTACCTAAGCAACGAGTTTCAGCAGATCACCTGACTAAACAGTGAATCCCAATCTTAACCAAGAAAACCACACATCAACTTGTCAGCCGAGGTTACTGGGTAGCAGCCAGAAGCAGAAATCCATGGCGGAGAAGGAAATGCATACAATAACAAGAACTTGCATTTACATAGCGCTCTTTATGCAGGGTAGCGTCCCAGAGGGCCTGACAATGGTGTAGCACGACGCCGAGCCAGAGGGAGGGGGAAGGTGACCATAATCACGGTTGAAGAGGAAGGTCTTCAGGCACGACCTGAAGATGGGGAAGAAGGAGACAACATGGAGGGATTGAGGTAAGAGTGTTCCAGAGTTTCTGGAGTAATGTTTGAACATGCGGCATGAGGCAAAAGGGAATAGAGGGATTAAGGGAGGAGGTGGGGTAAGGAAAGTGGAATATTAGAGGTGGAGGCTCATGTGGAGTATTGACACTGGCACGGACCAGCTGGGCTTCAGTGCTTTACAGTCTATCTAGTTCTGTGTAAAAATAAATAGATCAATTTCCCTGACAAACCTAGAGATGCTCAAGTCTGTTGCTGAAGCCCCCCCCCCTGTGGTCCCTGCTCTTGATATAATCAGCTAATTGGTCACAGACCAAGAATTGAACTTGGAGACCTTCTGTAATTTGCACGGCTCAATGCAGTACTCCGCAGTGATGCATTTACCCACTCAGACATCAGGGATTCTCTCCAATCGATGAGACTTTTCAGCGCCATTTATTTTGCTAAAATGATTAGTTAAAGATAAATATTTAACTTCATAATTTCAGATCCCAGATTAGTTCAACCCAATTTCCTGTCTGCTTCATTTCGCAAGGGTGCACCTCATCCTAACAACTCGGTACCAAGCAATGAGTCAAGACAGGAGTTTACAAGGTGCCTTTGTGTTGAGTGCTGTGGGAAATAATCCATATAAAACCATCAGCCACGATTAATGGTGAAACCCTTGGTATTTTTAAACCCCGTTCTCTCCCACAGCTCAATATTAATATATTTCTTCAGATCAAAATCCAGCTTTTCCCTTTGAGGATCGCACTTCAAAAACAGGTTTGAAAGCAAAAAGTAAATTAAAATACAAAATTTTCAATATCCAATTTTTTTTCACACATTCATCCTTACAAGAAAACTCATTATTAACACAGCATTTTCTACACATGAAAGAAAAGTACAAGTTTGGAAAACTTGCAACACTCAAAATATTTCATTAGTCCTACCAACAGCCCCCCACTCCCTTCCACTCACCCCCCCTATCCTAGTCTGGTGAAATGAAATTGATCATTTGAGGACTCCAACTCCCTCCCTTTTCTCTCCCTCACTCACTCTCGGTCTCACTCCTCAATGTAGAACTAACTCCAGGCTCCTGAAAACTCATGTGTAAATCTAGCTTTTATTATTGAACTAATTCCCTTCAACATTTCTTATCTGGCCTTTATTTGAATTTCATTCAAATACAATGTCCCTAGTCACACAGAGTCACACCCCAAGCCTAAAGAGTGTGTGAGCCCTAAAAGAACTCAACTAAGGCCGGATGCTAAAGTAAAACAGAATCTGATTACCATAATCTAAGGTTGTTCAAAGAGCAGTGAGGATCAGGAAACATTGTACTCTTGATACATTTCCATACTAATTAATCATTACAATTTTACATGAAATACTTTCCACAGTTTCTATAGGATCTATAGAAGCAAAAAGGCGATTAGTTCCTAGGCTCAATGGGGACAATCAGTCTTCAAGGAGCGATAACATCCCGGAAGGAATTTTATTCAGACGAGTATACAATTTATTTAAAATAACACCTTAGGCCACTTCTACAGCTAAAAACATTCATGGCCAATTAAGTCTTATCTAAATACTACCAAACACAGGAAGGGAGCAGGGTACAAGATTTCAAGAGGCATTAGAACTAGGTCAATGTTAACCCAGAAAGGCACTGCTGTGTCAAAACACATTTGGAATTCATGCTAATCGCTTACTTTTGTGCTGTAAATTTCTTTCTCTCATTTTTTTCCCAATGAATCTCATTACGCGAACAAAAAAAAAGGAATTTCTTTCAGAATAACACACGGAATTATGGGGATTTACCCGGAGGGGGTAAATGAATCAGGTTTTAATTCAAAGCTCGGTGGATATGATTCTTATTTGACTTCAGGTTATGTTTGTAGGTTTATTGCTGAACGCCAGCAAGAATCTTGGCTGCTGGAAAATAGCATTTGTTTCCACCTGTAATTACCTTTGCTCATGTACTCTGTGACGATGTAGATTGGTTCCTCTGACACCACGGCATACAGCTGCACCAGTTTGTCGTGTCGAAGTTTTTTCATGATCTGGGCCTCCTGCAGAAATGCCTCGGGAGACATCGTACCAGGCTTTAACGTCTTAATTGCAACCTTTGTTGTGCCATTCCAGTTTCCTACAACGCAGCCAGTAATGGGGAAATGTGAGAAACAATACTGTCATTCCTGTTTCCCCACTGGAGGGATGCTCATTTACACACACACACTGCGCGCGCACACATGCACAGACACACAATACACACTGCTCACACACGAACACACATGCACAGACGCGTACACACAAAGGGCAAAACGTTGATCAAGTTTCCTTACTCCACACGCCTCTGTTTACCTAGAAGTAAGTAGGAACCCGGTTGTTAGTTGATTGGCGGATCGATTTTCCAGGGATAATAATCCCTTCAAAAATATAAGAAGAATTTGGCCACTCAATCCACAACTGTTTGTGGGACACTGCTGTGCGCAATTGGCTGCCGGGTTTCGCCCACAAAATATAAGTCACTACACTTCACAGTATATTCTGTGAAATGCCTCAAAGACGCAATAGGCGCTATGTCAAATGCAAGGAACATTATTATTATTAAAGTTCACTCGTGAATAGCACATGTTAGACCCCAACACCACTACAACCTGGACCATCAGGATGCACATATCACTGCTGGAGGCTTTCTAGAGTATCAGAAATTATAGCAACGTGAGACAGTCATTTGCCTGGATTTGCGGAAAGTCAAAGAGTTAACATAACTCCCATCCTCCAAAAGGGCCAACAATTGGCACGTGGTATTCACCGACCTATCATCATGCTGTGAAAAGCTCCAGGGTTTTGCTGGAACTCATTGTTAAATGATGGCAAACAGTGCCTTTGAGCAAACTAAACGCTGATGAAGATGATTCAACAGCAATGAGCAGAAAAGGGGAGTAGATAAAGCAAAGCTGCCAGTGGGAACACTCTATGTGTATAAATGGCAGATTATTTATTGCTTTTCAAAATAACACATTAGTCTGACCTAAACCTAGCAGAGCTATATTATATTAGTGCAGAATATTCAACCAAACAATGCAGTTAAAAGAGAGTAGTTAATAGGATTATACCATCCGATAATATGCTGGACTGGTCATTTGAGCTATGAAGAGCTAAAGATTGCATAGGCCAGACACACATAAATTGAGTGACGAAGCGATCGATAGCTCCTAGATTGTACAGGGTGCAGACAAGACTGCACAGCCTCAGTCAATCTTGTCCAGTGATTCACAACCACGAATCTTAATCTCATTATCATAAAGTGGAGGCTGCATAGACAGTATTAGTCAGGCTACATTACAGAGTGGGTAGTTAACACGAAGAATAGTTTGTCCTGGGAGGATAAGATAGTGCGGGCAGTTACACAAGGGAATCTTTCAATGGCAAATGGGGTGGGGGGTGGGGTGGGTAAACTAAGATAGAGAGCGATGGGATTTGAAAGTGGGGTCAGCCAGGTTTGATCCTGTTTTCTGCACGTTTCCTCCTCTAAAAGGCAGTTTATTTAAAACTTGTATATAGGCCAGTGATGGGATGATAGGCTCTCTTCCTATAGTTGAAGCTTTTACAGTGATGCAACTTTGCACATCATTCCTATTATCAGGCAGGATAATAGTAATAATAATGCTTGCATTTGATATAGTGCCTTATCACGTCATCGAAACGTCTCAAAGGGCTTCACAGAATATACTGTAAAGAGAATTGAGTGTACACTTTGTGGGCAAAATGCGGCAGCCAATTGTGCACAGCAGCGTCCCACAAACAGCCATGGAATTAAATGACCGAATTATTATTACTATTTTTGAAGGGATTATTAACCCGGGAAAGTGATCTGCCGATCGACTAACAATCATGTTCCTGTTCCTGCTTGCTGTTAGGTAAACAGAGGAATGTGGAGTAAGGATAAGGTGTTGCCCTGCCCGAGAATCAAACCTGGGTCCTCTTGCTTGCGAGGCGAGTGCTCTAACCACGACACTACAGGATGCCACTTACCCATCCAGACCTCTCCAAAGCATCCCTGTCCGAGCTTGATTTCCAGCTTTAAAGATTCCCGTGGGATTTCCCAAGCATCCTTAGCTAATCCCTGGGTCTGCGGTTTCACAGTTGGACAGACAGTTGTCAGCCGGTGACACAAACCATCAGCATGCTCTGGAAGGAAAGGTCAGAATCCAGTGTAAACATCTTATTAAACCTTCAAGGCATTGTGTTTGCTGCACTCGCCCTGGACTGCCTAGAAAGGACGTCTCCTTTATATGTATCAGGCAATGTCTGAGGGGAACCATGTGGACTGCTGAATATTTGAGTCACATATAGAGTTCAGCTGCAAGTGAAAACTAGGAACAACATATCGGAGATATCGACAGCACCAATCCCAGAACTCATAGCACCATCATCGCCATAATGCACTGAAGTGGGGCAGGCGGTTCTTGCAGACTTAGAAACTGACGCGAGGCAGGCAATTGGCCGAAATGACCATCTTCAACAACAACCAAAATCACAAACATGAACTGTGTTGGAGTAATCCAGGTGGGAAGTGACAAACACTTGCACGAGGGTTTTGGCTGCATTTGGGGTAAGGTACGGTCGGAGGCGGGCAATGTGGCGGAGGTGGAAAAAGCCAGCCCTGGTCAGGGACTGGATGTGGGGGAGGAAGGACAGCTGGGGGTCGAACCGGATGCCTAAGGTTGGGCACTGGTTTGGTGAGTCTAAGGGAGAGCCAAGGGAGTTCGAGGAGTTCAGATCCGCAGGAATGAAGACGTTGACAGGAGTCAAGGAGTATGGCTTTTTTGAGGGGGTGATGACAGCGGTTTTCAGTGGGAGTGGAACAGAGCCTGAGGAGAGAGACTGGTTGACCATGTCGGCCAGCAGGGGGGAGAGAAAGGGGAGTTGAGTGACCAGTAGCTGAGTGGGGAGAGGGGGTCAAGGCATTTTGGAGGGAAATGCGGATAGGTTTGTTGGTGGGAGTGGGGGGGCGGTGATGGGGAGAGTGGTATAGAGAGGATTTGAGGTCATGAGGGAGAAGTGACCATGGAGTTTGGGGAGCAGGAAGAGTTGGAGAGGGTATGGATGAGGGAGGGGAAGGGGTGTTTGCCTTTCGGGGGCAGTTGCTGCGGAGAGAGTGTGCGTTGGGGTTGGCTGCTGTGGGACAACCAACACTGGGAGGATGCCCAGGCTGGGGCAGAGGGAGGTAATGGTGGGGTCCAGGAGAGAGAGAAGGTGAGGAGAGCGGTGGGAGAGAAGGACAGAGTGGGAGTAGCGGAGTGTGGAGGGGTTGGAGCAGGAACATTTTCAGGGGGAGCAGCTCGGGTCGGGGCAGCAGCCAAAACACTCAAGGAGAGACCGAGAGTGAACGATCAGCAGGACAACATCAGCCTGCGGGCTACGGGAGACAGCGCAGGAAGAGAGGACAAGGTAGCAGAAGGATAGTAGAATATACACTATGCTTTTCCTACTTTGAAAAAGGCACCAGTGTAGGGTGGGTAACTTTAGCCTCAATTATCAGTTCAAGTCCCAGTGGTGGGGCTTAAGCCCCAAACCTTCTGACCCAGCGGTAAACGTGCTGTCAATCAAGTCAAGCTTGATGCTCAGGATTGCAGTGCCGAGTGCTTTATAGGAGTGGAACTTGGAAGGCGAGATTAACACATACTCTCAGAGGAGGTTTTGGTGTCAGTTCAGCTGTTGGTTTTGCTGTGACATCAGGATGTGGACGGACACCCAGCTTTGTGAAGTTGCCGTCCATGGACAGCGCGGTGTAACAAAGCACTTTATTTCCACCGCTGCCAAACATGACTCTGAAGACCTTTCAGATCAGCAGCAATAGATGTAGAAGGGCAAAAAATTATCATTATTATTAACTTACTTGAATAGTGGGCAACCAGCTGGTGCAGATTCTCGAACTGTGTCCGTGAGGTAATATAGAAGCCGCCTTTGTCCAGCTTACGGATTTTGTAGTGCTTCACGTTTAGTCCTTTAGCATTGTCATAGTCAGACACTGACAGACAATAGGCACCTGCAATAAGGATAAGGAATGTTACCCTATGAGGAACTCACAAAGTCTACACATCACTGTGACATTGCACTTCACAGCTCACACATGACACCATGCATTTGTGGCTATTTGTTTCAGCTGAAGCCAATGGGTTTTGAATAAGTCTCCACCAAGCTTGAAGTAAAAAGTAGCATGTTCCGTACATTGTGGGTTTAGGAAAATACTGCTTTTTTTCTGACCATTAAATCAAGCTCAGAATCAAAATGGGCAAGGAATGAATCACCCCACTGGAATCTTTCCCACTTTCAGCACAGAATCCTGAATGTCAAAAGAAAAAAAATTCTGAGAACATAAGGCTTTTAACGTTCCGTGGTTTCCATTCCTGACATGCTTTCATTATTTCTGCAGCTGTTGTCATTCCATGGTGGATGTTTATAAAGAACTGGACAAGATCCTCCTCGTCTTATTAAATGTTCTTAGGCAAAATACTCCCAACCGTGTTTAATGCATGTGCAAGTGGCTCCAGTGTGGTTAGTGAGCCAGGGGGCGGCGGAGAGGATGGGGAGGAGGAAACCTGCATAGATTTGCAATCGATATGTGGCTTTACAAAATATCCGAGGAATTCTGAAGCCGAAACTGCACAGACAAAATGGCCAATGGGAGTCAGGATGGAAGAGGTAACAACAACAACTTGGCTTTTATATAGCGCTCTTCACGCGAGGCGGTGTTTCGGAGCCTGAGGCCGAGCCGGGTTTGAAAACTGATTGATTTTTTTTCACACTAATATGGAAAAGATGCATGCCATCGAAAAATGTTTCTTTAATTAAATGAAGAGGCCTGCACACATCTTGCATGTCATCCTCTGTCATAAAACCGTTCCTTTATCTACAGACAACTAACTGTAGTGATGCAAAAACTTGGGACACAATGAGACACTGTAAATGTCACTGTGTGATCGACAGTGTTGCCATGCCTGACGTTGCCCAGATACACCCTTCGAATGAACAGTCAGGATTACAGCGCATCTAAACTCCAGCTTTGTAGCATTCTCATTCTCTGCAACTCCCAGTGATGAAAAGTCTCTACAGGATGGACTCCCTCCCTCTCCACTTTCAAAGCCCACCTTATGACCCCAACCTGTTTTGCTTGACACTTCACTGTATAAATAGAATGCAAATTGTAATTAACAGCAACAACAACAACATCAAATTGCATTTACATAGTGCCTTTCATGTCAGGAGGATGGCCCAAGGCGCTGGACAGTCAAGGGTTTGCTTCCGAGCTGGGGATTGGAGGCAAGGCGGGTGGAGGGCAATGGGAGATTTTACAAGGTTAAAAAGCGAAACAATATATATAGGCGGCATTCAATGGTGTTCAATAATTAAATCCACTGCTGGGATCCATAGTGTGGCTTGTTACATATTGCTCCGAGAAAAGAAGGAGCGAGAGAGAGAGAGAGCAAGAGAGAGAGAGACAGAGAAAGAATCAGCTTGTATATAACCAATGACCTACTTTTCACACTGCTCTGCCTCTGGCCACAATGAGATCTCTCATTCTCTCTCACGCTCCCACTCTCTCAGATACAGATGTCTGACCCCAGCCAACAACTGCATCATTCCCATTGACGACCTTGCACTTAATGACTTTTACTGCTTCCTTTCTTTAATACCCTTTAATATCACTGTAAAATAAATCCTCTCGAAACCATGCAAACATTTCTGTGACGTTTTGTTTTTAAAGCCAGGATTCGGACATAAAAGAGTTTCAGTTTTGTTTCCAAACGGGAGAACTTGTTAGCATCTTTCTTCGATCAGTGATGCTCTTTGTTCCTTTAAATCTCAAACACACGCACTCTGGCTTTGAAAAGAGCTTTCACATAATATATATATATATAATATAAATATCTTCAGATTTGCTGATGAAATCATTGCACTGTGATGTCTGCACTCAGTCTTTTAACACACCGGCTACAGCATTGGCCCAAGAATAAAGTGGCGTCAATTATAAACTCACATCGCTTAGAACTCTTTCCCAGAGTAATCCCGGAGTGTTTAGCTGCAAGTTGGTGAGAGCCAAGACTTGGGGGGGTGTCTCCAAGGTGTGAGTTGAGGTAACTGCTTGGAGTTTAACCAGCTAAAACTGTGCAAGCTTCCCACTGTTTGCTCAGCTAGGACCAACCTAACCGTTAAAGAGCTTTGGCTTGCAGGGTTAACAGAAAGGGGAGTACCAGGCCTTATATTAGCCCTCTGTTGTTTTTTTTCAGGCAATTTAGAAGCGTGAAAGAACGACATGAAATGGCACACATCCGAACATGCTTGTACCACAAATCTTTTTCTTCCTTATCTAATGTGGTTTCTGTGCAACTTCATTCCTTTCATGACCTGGAAGAGCGCTGAGGGGATTCAATACAGTCAGCAGATTGATCTTTCCAAAGCCAGGCTGCAGTAACAGCAAAACAGCTCCCAGCACCTGGCCCCAGGGCACCAAATCTCCACATCAGACATTTCCAATAAAGGCTTTTTGTTTACCTTCTTTCACACCAAGTACATCGCAGGTTTTGGATGTGTATTAACAGGATAAAAGGTAGTTGTTTGCCCCTCTTCCTTTGTTTCCTCTCCTAACTCTTACTAGGGTATAATTCCATAGCATCAGCTAGCTTCTGTTGTGGGACCTCTTAGTCCCAATGCCCTGTCCTTTTGCCAGACTTCGTAATACCTTTACTCCCCAAATATATGTTCTCTCTTTCAAACATGCAGAGGCTTGGAACCACGCTACTGATCATCCTCTGTCCTACTGCAGGTACAGCACACAAGTGAACCAGACCCTAATCTATCTCACACTCACACTCACACCCTGATCTAACCCTCTCTCACAAACACATCCTGATCTCTCTCTCACACACCCACACCCACACACAATGAACCCTCTCTCTCTCTCTCTCTCTCACATACACGCACAAACTGATTTCTCTCTCTCTCTCTCACACAAACACACACATACATTAATCTGTCTCATACACATACACACAGATTTCTCTTTCTCTCTCTCTCACACACACAGGGGACTTTGCTGTTCTGTTGTTTGCATCAAGAAACAGAATATATTTTGAAGCACTTGCAGGAACACAAATCAGAGAGATTAGAAGCCAGTTCAGTTTAGCCTTATGTTCAGAACACAGTTTTCATCCAGAGACGGTTACCTTTCGTGGTCTCACTCTCCCTGACCAAAAAGCTACCTCTAGGGTTTTCAGGACTTAGCAGCATTCTCTCCGATTCTCTTCGAGTAATCTTTCCAAAATACCATCTGAAAGAGTAATAGCCAAAGAGGAACATTAAGCAACGCGGGGGAAATCATGAGAAGGCCTGACCACAAAAATCTATTCACTGAAAACAGTGAAGCCCAAATCAAGTTTAAAAGATAACGGGATTTAATATTGTGAATTCTAATGGGATTCATCATCAATGAACATGCCTTTCACTAACAGATCTGCTCCAAAAGATAGAAAGCATTGAGGCACAGTGACCCCAGGTCAGAATGACGGGCTTTCAGTTTCCTAATTAAGAAATCCAGTTGGATTCTACCACATTCATTGGATTCCATAACAATGTTACTGGATCACAAGAGGCCTGGCTAGTCCTATGCATTCCCAAGTCACAAGGTTTGGTCTCATCTGAACCAACCAATTCCGCTCTGTTATAAGTGTGAACTTTCACCTACAACTTCAATTCACAGTAAACCCTGCAAAGTACTTTTCAGACGTTTCGTACGTCATAATAAGGTGAAGTGTCAAATGCAAGGATTATTATTATAATAACATACTGACATGTAAGGACAGACATAAAACCAACAATCTTTGTAATCAGTTTGATTTGTGCATGTTTGAGTAAAGGGCCTAACGTAGACTCTGTGCCCATCATTGACTCAAAATTTCTGTGAACTTTATATGTCTTCTTCCCTTCAAATTAATATCATTAAAGCACAAAGCTTCAATCATTAACTTCCCAATAAATAGACTCCTAACAATTAATAATAAGTGTCAAATCATTGTCTTGATATATTAAAGCTGAAACGACAATAACCAAAGGTAGATTATATAAATTCACTTTACAGTATATTCTGTGAAGCATTTTGAGATGTCTTAAAGATGTGATAAGGCGCCATATTAAATGCAAGGATTATTATTATTACAAGGAACAACCTCTCAATTTCAACCACAGCATAGTATGAACTAGAGTAGATTAGATTGCTTTTCTCTGTCTGGATTTAAAATGCCAGACCACGTATTGAAGATTCCCTCCTCACTGAATTTTAAAACCAATCGGATTCTTCTTGTGCTTTGCACAGAAAAAAAATAATCTATTGATGCCCTTTTCCTTACATGTCCTCTCACAATGGGGGCTGACAGGCAAAGAGTTCTTATTAACTCACACCATTAAAATACTGAATCGTTCCTGTTTAATTCTCTCAGACTCCCACTACCGTACTAGAAGTCCTTATTTAATTAAATCAATTTGTAACTGGCAGCAGACTTATGAGCGATCGAAGTTGAGATCGCTCGAGTGGATGGGCAGAATGGCCACGCACACCCCACCGTTTCACTTCTTATTTGAAGCGATCAGCGATCAGGCGACCCTTTTGTTATTAACTGCCTTCTTAAGATATTAATCAATTTAAATTCTGGGTTTCGAAGCAACTGACAAGACGGTGGAACGGGATTGAGGGGAAAGAACGATTCAGTGTTTGTTTCCAAAACCAAGCGAAGATGGATCAAGATTAAAATAATAAAACAAACTTCAAAAATTTGCTTTACATTTTTGAAATTGGTACATTTCTATTGGCCAATCTTCTACTCGACAACAACAACTTGCACTTATATAGCACCCTCCATGCAGGGTAGCATTTCAGAGCGCTGAGCAGTAGCGGAGCCTGACTCCGAGCCAGGGGGGGGGGGGGGTGCGGGGGGGGGAATGGTGGCTGTCGGCACGTTTGCAGAGGAAAGTTTTCAGGCTGGACTTGAAAGAGGGGAGGGGGCAAGTTGGAGGGACTGAGGGAGAGTGCTCCAGAGTTCCAGAGAGGGTGTGAGGGACGAGCAGGAGGCCGGTGCCAGTCGAGCTGAGACGCCGGGCGGTGGATTGGGGAGTGAGGAGGTCGGAGAGGTAGGGAGGTGTCAGGGAGTGAATGGAGTTGAACACGAGTTTGAGGATCTTGAAGTTGATCCATTTGGTGATGGGGAGTCAGTGGAGCCCGGGCCAGAACTGGTGAGATGTGGGTAAGGAGTTTGGTTCGGGTCAGTATTCGTGTGGCAAAACGTTTTGAATGAGCTGGATCTTGTGAATGGTGGAGCTGGGAAGACCGGCGAGTAATTGGTGAATCGCAACCTCATCTCCTGAATACGCTGACCCTTGCCCATTTCCTCTTCCCACCTCACTGCTAAGTTGCCCAAGTTGCCATTGTATTCATGGGCCTGGTGAATGAGTGTCAAACTATTCCAATGTGGAGGGATTAATGAATGGGAGGTTATAGCCAAACCAGATCCTGTTCATATCTAATATCCACACACACACACAGATTATATTACACTTCCCGGTGTAATATACTGGTGACTGGATAACAGTCAGGAATGAAACTCCCAATTGAGTTCACAAGGATTTAAGGCCAAGGGGTTAAGCCCCCTCCACCCGCAACCATCTGCAGCCCCAGATCAGCTAAAATTAGCCCATCACAAACCTGGGTGAAACCTGCAATCCTCTGGTCCAGCGATATGCTACATCGTGCCTTTACTCACTAAGCCATCGGTGGACCTGAAAATTGGTGCATTTTAATCCACTTTCTTACAAGGGAAAATTTCAGATGTTTAAATGTGTTTGGCTGTTACCATTTCATGCTTCCCCCTGGAAACGCAGTCAGACTACAGCTGGGTAGGAACATGTATTTGCAGTCTGTCTGCAGGGACTGTCCGTGATTTTATGTTAGAAGCGGCGATATCAAACAAAGGAGCAGAAAATCTGTAATTTGCGGTCCCTGTTTACTTGGGTCGGCTGATCTGCAGTCCACGTGACTTAAGACTGCCATAGCTTTGCTCTTAATTAAACAGATCTAGCACAAACATCGATATACTGTATTAGCATTGGATTTCAGAGCCAGGCTTTTGTAAGCACTGCTGGTATTTCACCAAAATGCAAGATTTATGAGATCCCGAGAGACCAGCATCATTAAGATGTTTGAAATTCTGCCTCCAAGAACGTGCAAAGCTCTTTAAAAAAAAGATAGCGCCTCTTAATTCTTCGGAAAGTGACAAAATTAATTGAACGGTCCCATCTTTGTGTCCAGATGGCTAGATCTGCGCTACACGTAGATCCCCCCCCCCCTTTTCCCCTGCTCTCCCCGTCATCAATAATACATGGACCCCCCCCCTCCCCTGGGGAAGCAGCTTTAATAATGCAGGAGTTTGCTTGGCTCCAAGCATCGTCTTGCATCTACTTTTGGGTTTCACATCGGAAAATAAATATTCCACTCTGCATTTTTTTTGCCAGGCAGCTCTTAGATATTAAGAGTGTACAGAAGGAGAACCCTCCTTCCCTTGACTCTCCAACCCCCCCCCCCACCATAACCCCTCATTCCCATCACTGCTATCAGTCTGGGCACTGGTTCTGCAGCTTTGCTCCTTGCACCCACCCCCATACCCCCTCCACTGCCACACACAAACACACACAAGGCTAACCCCAAGCTTTCCAGCTGCAGCAGCATCACTAGGCTGCTGGGTTTGGATGATGAAAGGATCTTTCACTGGTGCCAGCAGCCTCGATCACCCATTGCATCTGTTTAACCACTTAATTACCAATTGGCTCCTGCAGCTTTTGAAACACCTCATTTTTAAAAAAAATCTGCACAAAGCTGGTTTCGGGACATTTCTGAAAACAAATGTCAAAGTTCAAGGAGAGAAATCAAAATCTATCGCATTCTGGAGAGTGTACAACAGAGTTTGAGAGGAATTGAGTAACCTTGCTCTGAAGAATGGTTTTGGCTGCTGAAAAAAGGGGCTACATTAATTATGGAGGGTGGCGGTGGGGGAATTAAGGGGGAAACAGAATGGTTTGAAGCACGTTTTGAAAAATATATATTACATCGTAATTTCAGAGACTCTTGAGATGCCTACTAGGTGAATGAAAGAATCAAGTCACACAAACCAGGTGCTGAGTCAATCACTTTCAGCCTAGGTTGTGGTGAGAGTCCTCAATAATAATAATAATAATGACAATAATGACAATATTACAACAATAATCCTTGCATTTGGTATTGAATTGAATCAAATCCTTATATAATAATAATAATCCTTGCATTTGATTTAGCATCTTCTAGACGTATCAAAGCGCTTCACAGAATATACTGTAAAGTGAATTGACTGTATATTTTTGTGGGTGAATCGCGGCAGCCAATTGCGCACAGCAGTGTCCCACAAACAGTCGTGCATTTCAATTGCAATCCTTGGAGCAGAGTGGTTATTGTTAACAATAATAATAATCCTGGCATTTAGTACAGAGCCTTTCACATTGGGAGGACGTCTCGAAGCAATTCAATGGATTTTTACTGTGAAGTACGGTGACTGTTATTCGTAATCAAACATAGCAGTCTATTTGCACATCTTAATGTCCCCATACCTACAGCCATGAAGTGAATGACTAATTTTATTTATCTGGAGGATTGTTGGCTTGATGACCCCAAAACACTGACTGGCATGTAGTTTTATAACACTGCTCCCTCCTCTGCAGACCTGATATTATACAGCCAACCGTCCAAACACTGTGTTAGAAACACAGAAACAGGAGGGGCCATTCTGCCCCTCGAGCCTGTTCCGCCATTTTATAAGATCATGGCTGATCTGTAGCTCATGTCCAAACACCCGCCCTTGCCCCATATCCCTTAATACCTTGACCTAACAAATATCTATCCACTTCTGTCTTGAAAATGTGAATGCATCCAGCATCCACAGCCTTTTGGGGGAGAGAGTTCCAGATTTCCTCTACCCTTTGAGTGAAAAAGTGCCACCTAATTTCACTCCTAAATGGCCAAGCTTGAATTTTAAGATTAAGATTTTTTAAGATTATAAATAAAAGGGATTTAGCTGGAATAATTAAAGCGTTATTCATTAATATGCGAATCGGCTGATATGATGATTCTTCGGGGAGTGCGGGGAAACAGGTCTTACTGTAGCAGAACCACAGTAATGTGCCAAGGGTCTGGCACGGTTGATGTAGTGAGACACCTGCTGTGCACATAATCCCAAACCCGAGACAAATTCATCACAAAGAGAAAACTAGAGACAAGAGCCTGGTGCCTGCTAGGCTTCAGACTGGCACCTGCATAGGTGAGAAGGGATCAATTTATCATACTTCACAGCTGTTTGCGAGACATTGCTGTGCGCAAATTGGCAGCCGGGTTCCACTACAAAATCACAGTCATTATACTTTACCCCGGATCCTCTGAAGCACTCCGAGACACCCTCCCGACATGATAAAGGCACTGTATCGAATGTAAGACTTATTATTGTTTGATACTGTCACATCAGCACAACTAATGAAAGCAACAGCAACCAGGATTGATTTGTAACATGCTAATCTGAGGTTTCATTTAAAAACATTCTCCCTTTAACTTAACCCAAACCTGACATCTCTCTGATCTAAGACACCAGACTTATCGTTTCTAAAGCAAATTATTTACTCTTCGGCCTGGATGGAGTCAGAAGGTGCTACATAATTGCTGGGAATATATCCAGAGCTTCCCGTATTCAGAGAACGCGCTAGCCACCAATCTCCTTCCCTGTAAAATATAAAGAGAGACAAAAAAAGGGAAGGTTAAATTGCAACGGAAAACGAACCATTTCTGCCCAATTTCAAATCAGCGTCACATTAATCCAACTACCCGCCCAGATTCAAACCACCACTGCAGGTTTTTAAAGATGCTGAAATTCAGAAATGCTAGTCACTTTTTTGAAAGAGATCGCAGAGGAAAGCGATGGGTGTGTGATTTGAGATTCGATCACTGTCATGCACTAGCCAATTTTCTTTTGAACAACGTAAGTATTAATAACTGAAGGCAAAAGAGTTTCACGCTTCTATTCGGAGCAAAAGGTTGAGTGAACTAATAAATATCAGGTAACATATTGTCCCACTTTATGTGTATTTGCATTGAATGGAAATTGCATTAAGTCTGCTCTAATTAGATATGAGTCACTAACTTAAACATCAATACGAAGCATTGGCTTTGAAGGGTCGATACAATAAGCACTAGAGTGCTGCTGGTTTGGGATTTTATGGCAAAACAAACCACACGGCAGGCTTGATCCCCAGTGATCGATATCAGCAGTGCTTTCTGAAAGGAGTTTGAACCGTAAGGCAGTTTGGCGCAGGTGGTAATATTAAACGTGTCACTTTCTATGACGTACCATCAACAAAGATATGACTGTGAAAATACAGAACACTTAAACAGGAACATGTGTACTATTAAGGTCAACCAAGGATGGCGTGACATGGCTCTAAAAGGGTGGCTATCTTGGAAACCAGGTGTTTCCCCTTGAGGAAGGACGAGAGGCAGAAAGCACAAATATCATAACTAGGTTTCTTTGTTTCATCTCAACATCACCGTGTCAAGCATTTGGAACCAAATTTACGCTGAAGAAATTAAAGCTTCCTCTAAGCTTTAAACTCTTCCTTTTATAGACCTTGAACGCCTGCTCTGATAATAACCCTATGTCTTCCAAAAATGTGAGAGCAGAACCAGAGTGGGGGCTTCTTAAATTCTGTCTTAATTTGGACACTGCTTCCCCAATTCTTAAAAAGAACCAGTTTTTGAATGATTTCCCAATTTCATTTTTGTAAAAAAAAGCAAATCTACACGATTTTATATTTTAAGAGAAAACGGTTCGAATCAGGTGGAATTTGGGGTCTTAGATTTGTAGACCTGAGATCAGGAACGATTGCCCTGCAGTCAAAAAAAAGTGAGCATCTGTTAACGATTCCAGTTGTGTGGAATGAGAAATCCGTGAAATTACAAATTTTCCGTCCAATGTTGCAAAATATCTTTGTTTTAATCATTAAAGAGCGACCTGACAATTAGCCCAAGGGAGAGACAAAGTCTGTGAAGGTCACAATACTTCAATAGAAACGCACGATACTCAAGAGATTGTCTTGGCCTTCGCTCAATGTCCATCCACCCGTTGTGACTTCCCTAGTTTTGTTTCTGCTGATGCACTTTCATTTCATTTGCGCCTCCTTAATTATGACGCAATTCAGCCAGCACCTACACTGAGGATTGAGAATAAAAAGGGACTTCCTCCTAGTGTCTTGGTCCACAAATCCCTAAATAGAAAACTGTTTTTTCACTTCACAGCTGTTGTCGGGGGGGGGGGGGGGAGCATTGCTGTGTACAAATTGTCTGCCGCGCTTGCCTACAGATATGCGTACGCTATATTTTACAGGAAATCCTGCAAAGCGTTTTGAGATGACCTTCTGATGTGAACGGCGCTGTGTCATAAGTAATGATTGTGCAGTTTTAGCTGGTAAGACTCCAGCAGTACCCCAGCAACACACACCCAAGCCTTGGCACATGTCAACCTGCGCCTAATACTTTCCCGGAATCAAGCAAGCAGGATGCGTCCCTCCAGGGAGAGAGTGCTCATTCTGTTCAAACAATCTATCTCTGGAATTTCTATGTGTAGGTGGGATGCATGGAATTCTCTGTCTGGTTTGGATACTCTTAAGGATGGTGATGGGTTTCAGACACCTGGGACTGACCAACAAGCAAAAACAAAAGCAGAAGTGGTGGCGAAGGGTGGGCGGGGGTGGAAGGGGAGTGGATATCAACCAGAGCTCCAGCTGCTTACCTATACACTGATCCCAGCTGGAAACATGCCCGTGTGTGCATCACACCAAGGACAGGTTTCGATCTAATGATTTCTACAGCCCCACCACACTCATTCTCTGGCCTCACACACCAAGAATTGGCATGAAGCCTGTGCTACCCCCGCCCACCATAATGAGTCATCACATTCAATATGAGTCATCCCATTCAACTGAAGAGGAGGACAGAGTGAGACATAAAACACAAAGGCAACTCATTTTTTAGTCTGCACTAAGAATTTTTTGAATACTGGCCTCCCTGTGGTTTAAGGCTAGGCTGAACTCCTGCTCGATAAGGTCTTTCTTAATCTTCGGCACGCATTAGATCGGTGCGCTACACACTGTCATGCGTTTCTCACACTCAGCGGTCAGTTTGATATCAAATGTCGCTGTCAGATAGCCAATTGCTCGAAGATGCTATTCATATTATACCTAAATACCTAAAAAGGAGTAAGTTACAGAACCCCGAGGGCACAGTGATGTGCTGATGTCTGCTTATAACAAGAGGCGTTACACACAATGATGCTGTATCCTCACTGAGAACGGAGGGTCAAGAACGGATCGGATAAAAGAGTTCAAAATCGTGAGCAGGATGGAGAGGGTTAAAACATAGATGATTATTTTTCACTGATCGGTAACAAGAGAGAATAAACTCAGATTTATTATTAGAAGCGTAAAGGCCATTTCATAAGACAAGATTTATTAGGATATGAATGTGAACGCTTTATGATGAGGGGCTTTAGAGACGGATTACATTTAAAAAGCAATTAGAAGGGCAATTTTAAATGAAGATACAGAAGGATGTGGAGAAAGAGCAGGGGAACTGAACTCCAGTGGTGGAGGGCGGGGGAGGTGTGGCAAGGGTGGGGTGGAAGGGGAAGCGAGCACAGAATAGGCTCTGGAATTTCTAACCACACTTTTTATCATTGTTATCATTGACAGAAATAAAAGGGTAAAGAAAGTACATTCGGAGGAATTCACCGCCATTTAAAGAGAACTTTTTTTTAATTAAAAAAAAAGCATTTCTGAATTTCAACACTTTCCTTGGAATTTCCTCGAGCTGCTGCAGTTGGCGAATGCGAAGTATGTCAGGCATGCAGCCACATGCTTGGGAGCGCATCAAACTTTCCAGTCCACATCACCAAAAGGAGAAACTAGGCAACAGGGTTTTTCTTTGCTCTGGAGCCTTTATAAATCACCGCCATGGGCTGACTGCAGTCCAGTTCCAATGACAACGGGCATTGGAAAATGTTTCCAAGCGTCTCAGCATGCCGAAATCAATCATCCGTGACCCTCTCACCCGCCTTGCCCCATTCCCCTCTCCTTCCCTCCCCCACCCCATGTGCCCTGGTGAAATTACACTTGAACAGGTTAAGGAACTTAGTGCGCGCTATGAATACAATTTCCCGGTACGTACACAGAGTTTAACCGCATAAAACCTTAACGCAGCGGAAATCTCGAATTCAACAATGAAGAGTGCAGCGAGAAAACAATTCAGATAACTAGAATTCGATCTGATCCAATAAGAATTGGCGCTAAGTTAGTCTTTGTTGCCAGCGGGATCCTGGTCTCTGGTTAGAAAATCTACAGTAACTGCTGGCTGCCTGGTCATTTTATTCCCTCCCTTAGAATTCAACTGTTAAATGCATTAGCTTAACAGTCCGGCTGGAACTTCCATTAACAACTGGGCAGTTGAACGCTCCACTGTGCATTCCCTGCCCCTCGCTGCTTCACACGAGGGCACGGGTGACAATGGGGTAATTTTTTAATTAAAAAAAAATCATCTCATTCGCAAAAGGATAAATAATCAAAGGCTGTACAAACCTGCCATTCGATCTCCTAAATTTAATCATTGTTGCATGTTGAAAAGAGAAAAGGGGATTAGACAGTGCAGCGCTCTCAGAACCAAAGTCCCGCGGTTCATAAAAGGTTCAAAGTGGATTTTTTTTTAAAAATGAAAGGAACAATTTCTAGCTTCAAACTTGCGTTTAATGCTCAGAAGGTTCCTGATTCCTACCAGTGTGAGTCTTTCATTTCTCCCCCCACCCCAGCCCTCCTGCACTGACAGAGCTGCTCTCAGCCTAACCTCACATCACACTGATGGAGAGAGGAGAAAATATCAACACAGGGAGATTTCCTGCATGGCAGGAATGTTTTGGGCATTAGTGGCTATTAATATTAAACACTGCTGAAAGAGAGAGAGGGAGTGAGAGAATGCACTTGCAGAGAGGAAGAGGTTATTTTACTTGCTAAAGTCCACCATTACATCACGTGTGAATTTCACCCATTATAAAACACAAAGAGACGTGATCGCTAGGATCAGTGTAACATAGACCCCCACCCAGCCCCCCACTCCACAGCTCCCACAAAGGGAAGCAAGGTGCACCCCCCACCCCACCATATCATTTCTGTCATTTTTCGATGGCATTTTCCACGGGAAGCAATCAGTGTTGCACCTTGTGATAAAACGCTGCTCGCAATCTGCCCTTCCGTCCTTCCCGTCGTGAAAGGTGCTACGTAAATGTCATTTGTTGTTGTTTTGTTGTTGCCCTGAACAGAAGAGTTGCAGGCTGCTGTCAGTCTGTTGAACAGGAGGTGCTCAAGGCTTGCAATGGTGGTTTATTCTTCATTTATAAGAAGCGATCTTGCTTTTTGTAACCTGCCCCCCATTCTCCCCTTTATAGACTTCTGATAAAGTCCAATAAGCAAGGGGGGGGGGGGGGCGGGGGGCGGTGTGGGAGGTTGGGTTAAAGTAAAAGAACGCCTTAAAAAGAACTATTCTTAAAAAAAGTACAATAATTGAACAACAATTCACACTCTGCAGTCACCTTTATTCAGAAAGGCTACCGCGAACACAGATTGAATTTTAAAGGCAATTGACGCAACATGGGGGGAGGGGGGGATTGTAACGAAAAAAAAGGTAAAAGAAATAACCTGAACGGCAGCATATTCCGAGGCAGCCTGTGAAACCACAGTAAATGATGTTTATGTACGAAAAGAAATCTAAATTCAAATCACATCGGATTTTTTTTCCTATAAAAATTTGTCTCGGTCTCAAATTCAGTAGATAAGGCGAGCGAGGAAAGGAGTTAAGAATTACGACTGCATTGGGATTTAAAGCCACAGCCATAGATTTCCACACTGTTGCTAGGCTTGAAACTCACAGTGGCTCCAATACACAGGATATTGACGATTCATATTTATTGAGCGTGAGGGTTAAGGGATTGTGAATCCATTTGGGTTCCGCAATCCTATTAAAACTAAATTATTTTTAAGATTGTGACTAGTTTTTCGTGTTAGTGGGAGGTTCAGCTGAAAGGCCTTCAATCCATCTGATCTCATACTATTGCCTTGCCATCACAACATCAGGCCATTTCTTATGAGTCCCAGTGTCCTGGCCTCAACCCCAGCATCCTGGCAACTGTCTTCGAGTCGTTAATTACCCTCTGGGTAAACAAAATCATTCTGGTGTCTGTCCTGAAATTGCCCTTTGCAACACTAAACTATGTTCTCTTGTTCTACTGTCTTGATGCATCCAAAAATATTATTCTGAATGGATCCAAATCAAAACAACAATTAAACCCTTCTGATTGAAGTGATATGTGAATCCTTTGTACAGTTCTCAGGGGATAACATTAGGAGAAATACATTCCAGAATTCGGAAAATTGTTGAATTCAATCATAACTTTCAGTTTTCTATAGTTCCGGAAAAGAATTTTACAGAAAAGTGGCTTCAGAATTGAAACAAAACTGAAACCCTAGGCATCCAACAGGGAAAAATATCACAAAAAAAATTCCATTCCTTAAAATTTCTCTACTAAACTACACTGTGGTGCACTGGACTGCACAATTGCACTGCGCGAACATAGAAGGGATTTGACCAAATTGCAGTAGCTAAGATGCTTGAATGTTAGATGGGATGATTAGGAAAAGTTCAGAAGAATATGAATCATCAGGGACGAGAGTGCAGGTTAATTCAGAGCGTACTGATTGTGATCAAACTAAAAATTTTAATTGTAAACTCAACAGTGATTCTCTAGAGTGTTCCAAAAGGAATATCAGGCTCGCGTAGATCTGCTATATACTCAAGGAAATAGAAGTCATAGACTAATTAGATAGGTATAGTTTACCCACTCACACTCTCTCTCTAGCTCAATATGTAAATGCATTGACTGAGTTACACAGACAGACAGGAAGGCCCAAGGTATTCTCTTTGTATTGAAAAAGATTTTTTTTAAGCAGAGGATGATTGGAATATGCAGTTCTCTGCTGCAACCGTTGCTAAGGCAGAGTCCCAAATTATTTTGAAAAGGAATTATGTATCATAGATATTGCTATGGCATGTGCTGCATTGGCTCTTTCTCGCTAAAATAGAAGTTGCAATGATTACAATTGAGCACAGAGCTGTTGAACTAGAAAAAGGAAAACCCTCATCACAATCAAAGTGCCGGCTGCCAAAATGTTCTTACGTTCGTTGGGTGAGGTCAGGATTCTAGCCCACGAGGACAGCAAAAAAAAACAGGATAAAATTTATGCCGTAAGAACATAAGAAATGCTAGACGAAGAAAAGACTAAGGTCCATCTAGTTCGCCTTCCACCTTCCTGGCGATCGCAAACACATATGTCCCGAACTATCTATATACTATATCCCATAATGTATTTCCTAAAAGAAAAGTATTTAATCTGTGTTTGAAGGAATCAACACTTCCAGCTTCCACCGACTCTCTCGGGAGCCTACTCCACAGGTTTACTATTCACTCACTGAAATAGTGTTTGATCATTAGCCATCTACCCTGAGGAGCTTGCACAATGAACGCGAGAGCAGTCGGCCAAGACTCATGCTTACGTGTTGTTCACAATCTGCAGTCGTTCCCCTTTTTTGAAGGAAAGGTCACTTGCGGTCCTCGATTCATAGTCGTACAGGGCAACAAATGTGGTGACTCCGCCTGGAAACAGAGAGAGAGAGAGGAGTGATTTATACTCAGGAAAAACCCACCTTCACTCAAGCCCTGAGTCATTCAGGAAGCTTAACTAGTGTTATCCACTCCCTTTTTTCAACAGGTCAAGAAGTTTACTTTCGCTTGAGATCGTTCTGACTCCTTTTGCACTCCCATTAGCACCCGGACAAGTGGACCAATCCTGCAGGCACTGCTCACTGGAAATCCTGTAACCTCACATCCTCTGATCAAAGGCAATATGAGCCTATTGTTTCTCAGCTTTTGATCACTTAAGTTATTAGGTCAGCTGCCGGTTCTATTAAAGGGCAGGTACCAAAAGGCAATTCGCAAAAGCAGACAATGGGCATGGTGAAGAGGCAGGTGAGACTGTGGTTTAACGTCTCATCCGAAGGACGTCACCTCCAGCACTGCACCCGTCTAGACTAGACTATAAGAGTTCAAAGTCCCTACGTGGAGTTTGAACCCATAACCTTTTGCCTCAGAGGCAAGAGTGCTAATGACTGGCTGAGTCAGGCTGACACCTGTACCTGTATTCAGAGGTTTAGGCTTTGGAGGTTGCCAGGAAAGATTCTAATGCTCTTAGTCTAGGATATTAAATGCCGTCTTCCTGCTTGCACAGAGACCAAATGCAGTGTTTCTGCTAGAGAGCTCAGATAATTCTCCTGGCAACGGGACTAATTAATTCCTGGTCCAAGCACCGCAGCAAATGGAGCGTTCCTTTTACTACCTGTGGCGATGGCATTCGCTGCACAGAAAATTGTTGGCGTGGAGACACATAAGGAAAGTAGCATTAGCTCAATGTGACGATGGGGGCATCTGTCTGGTCCATGGGAAGTGCGGGTGATAGGGAATGGGGGGGGTGATAGGGAAGAGAGCTGCAAGTTGCAAACACAAATGGAAAATAAAAAATTCCTGTTCCTAGCCAGGAATCACACATAGCTGGCCTTTGTGTTTTTAAACCTGTAAAACGAAACAATGAGGAAACCACATTTTAAATCAAAGTGTTTGTTTTTTACTTTGGGGTGGAGAGTGGGGGGGAGTTGGTTTGGATTTAATATTTAATCACTGTTTGTGGGACACTGCTGTGCACAATTGACTGCTGTGTTTCACCCACAAAGTATATACAGTCAACTCACTTTGCAGTATATTCTGGGAAACACTTTGAGACGTCTCGAAGATATGATCAGGTGCTATTATCAAATGCGAGGATTATTATTATTATTGTTGGTCCCTAAAATTTTACATTAAATCTACTGGAGGGTTCACTGTGCATGAGCCAATGTTATAAAAATCTCAAACTTGACACAGGGTCACACACAAAACACAAACTTTTCTTTCTTTCAGCCGCTGGTTTCAGCTGCTGGGTATAGCCAGCATTTGCTGTGTGTGTGACTGTGTACTAATTCACTGCAAGTGGCTGAGGATGATAAAAGTGATTCTTGTAATAGGAAATTTAGTTCAAATGAGCCACCAATAAAACAAACATTCTGGGAGAGCTTTGAAATCCACCAGCTGTCCAACTTGTTTATTTATTTCTCTGCTGTTTCCCCAGTGGGGCCATTTTCTACCCTGTGTATTACATCCCATCAGCTGAAAATGAGAGACAAGCAGACAGACGGAAAGAGGGTGAGAGAGAGAGAAGCGCAAGACAGGGAGTGGGAGATAGAGAAAGAGAGAGTGAGTGAGAGAAGTGAGATAGGAAATAATAAATAATAATAATCCTTGCATTTAATATAGCGCCTTATCTCAAACCGCTTCACAGAATATATTGTAAAGTGGATTGACTGTGTATTGGGAATGGGGTAGAAATATAGAAAGTGAGTGGGAGGACAGAGAGAGACTAAGAGAGATAGGGAGTTTGCAGGAGAGAGCGAGAGAGAGTGAGTGAGAGAGGAAGTAGTAGAGAAGAGGAAGACAGTATGAAGAAGATGAATTACGACAAAGCTGAATCAGCTTCTGTTGATACTAATTCAGCAATTCCAGAATGTGCATCAGAAATTCTTCCAAGCCAGTTTCCCTGATGCTGTCATCAACAAACAGAAATGTGTACAACGTATTCAAAGTATTTGTTTGGATGGATTGTTTTTAACACAAAGGATATTAAAGGCTATGTTTAAGCTTTCACTTTTTCCAAGAAAATCCTATTTGCCTATTCACTATTATCCCTCTCTTTCACCTATGGCAGGGGTGGTAACAGGGCATGGCACTGGGAACTAAAAATACCTACCAAAATCTAATAAACTGGCAGAAAAGGATCAGTGGGCTGAATGGCCTCCTCCTGATTCTGTGTTCCTAGGAGCACCCACTGAACACTAACCTGCCAGCTGGCCTTGCCGTTGTGAAGGTGAAGATGTGTTTGAGGAAGTGATGCCTCCGAAAGGAGTTAATTCCGAGGTTCCCCCAAATGGGGTGAAGGTGGAACCGTGATCGAGCCCTGGAGCCTTCACAGGAGTGGAGTGGGAGTCTGGCGCTGTGTCGTGTCCAAAACGCAGGTTCTGCATGCTGGAAGTTACACTAGCGTCTCCGGACCTTGGCTTCTGGGTAGACTCTTTCACCTTACTCTTGCTGCTCCCCATTGTTAGGCCTATGGGTATATAAAAAAAACACACAGGGGGAAAAGAACCATCATCAAAAAGAATGCAGTTTTTCATTTTGTTTTATATAATTTGTGTGTAAAAAAAATGTATTCCGTCAATCACAGCAACAACCCTTAACTTTCATTTAGTACATTTTTTTAAAAAACTTTGCACAATAGTAGAACACTGCCCCAATAAGATCAGGAAATAATAATAATAATCCCTGCATTTGATATAGCGCTTTTCACATCTTCTAGACGTCTCAAAGCGCTTCACAGAATAGACTGTAAAGTGAAATGACTGTATATTTGTGGGCAAAACATGGCAGATAATTGCGCACAGCAGTGTCCCACAATCACTGTGGCTTGAAGTGACCAATTTATGATTGTTTTATTTTCTTGAGGGATTATTATCAGGCGTGTAGAGTAAGGAAACCTGCCCAACCTGCTGGGAATCAAACCCAGGTCTCTCGCTTGCAAAGCGAGTGCTCTAACCACTGAGCGAGAGGACTGTACAGGAAATGAACCCAACCGACACTCTTCCCCCCCCCCCCCCAAGTAACACCCCTGGTGTGAATCTAAGTAACAATATCTTGCATTTATATAGCCCCCCTCACTCAGGGTACCGTCCGAGTGCACTTAAGCCCTTAAAGTAACCCTTGAAAGCCCTCGCCTGAGTCAGAAGGTTATGGGCTCAAATCCCACCCTGAGATTTTGATCTCACAGGCTAGAGGGCTCCAATGCAGCACTGGGGATATCCTGTTAAATCCAGGAGTCACAGGTCAAGTGAAATTCTATTCAGACGAGAATAAAATTTATCATTCCCTGCTTAGAATTCTATATCTTCAGCCCAGGAACCGGCTGGGGGTGCCATCGTTCAGATGAGACATTAAACCAGGTTCACGTCTGGTGGACGTTAAAGATCCCATGGCGCTATTCGAAACATGTCCTAGCCAACAAAGTCCGAAATAAAATTGGTCATTCGCTTTGTGGCTAGTTGAGGGACAGTGCTGTGCCTAACTTGGCTACCACATTTGCCCACAAAATACAGTCAGTACACTTAACAGCAAATCCTGCAGAGTGCTTTGAAACGTACGTCCTCCTGGCGTGAGAGGCGCTGTATCAAACGTATGTATTATCATTATTATAAATAACTTTCCTTATATTGAAAGGTTAACTCCAGGGATTGCAGGTCAAGTGAAATTCTATTCAGTAGAGAGTACAATTCATCATTGCCTGTTTAGAATTCCTATCTCCAGCCCAGGAACCGGTAAACTCATCAGTTCTCTATTAGTAAGTAGCAATTTTGAAATTGAAGGAAGCTGATCAATATCTGTAGAAGGGAGAGGAGAGGAAAATAACATGCCCGCAAGTGTTAAGTTTGCGCTGTTGCCATCTCCAAGAGACTCAAAGGTTCATGCAGGTGAGACTCAGTGTGTAATAGAAGATATTGCCTTAGGTTACCTGATCACAGTTGATGTTTCACAAGTGATTGCTTCAATGTCAGGCTGCTCTTGAAGGGGAAAAGGGAAGAAAGTGTAGATACTTTTATGGGGAAGAGAATCCCCCTGTATTCGATCACTTCCTTTGCCAAAGATGGGCCTTTTTGGGCTTCTCAGTGTCCCCTGAGAGAATATAAAACAGAGTTTGGATCAAAAGAGCTTGAATTTACTTCATTATAAAACAATTCATTGTGTGAAATTTAGAGCAGACTCTTATTGATCCTAAGCTGGTGATAAATATATAAAACTTGTTTTAAATAATGATTATTGAAACCATGCAATACTCAACCAAAGAAACCCCTATGGATTTGTAGATGGCTCAAATTGCAGTTTATTCTTTCAAATAGACTGATGGAATGCATGCCCACAATTAATAATAATCCTTGGATTTGATATAGCGCCTTTCAAATCAGGCGGAAAGCACTTCACAAAATTTACCTAAAGTGTATTTGTAAGCTGCCATGTTCACTTAAAAATGATAAAGTCACTATATTTTATAGTAAAATTCTGTGAAGCACTTTGAGACATCAAAGGTGGTGGAAAGAGATTCAACAACAACTTTCAAAAGGGAATTGGATAGGTACTTGCAAAGGAAAATTTTGCAAAGATATGGGGAAAGCACGGGGGAGGGGACCGATTGGGTCCCCAAAGCTCTTCCAAAGAACCGGCAGAGGAAGGATGAACCAAAGGGCCTCCTTCTGTGCTGTAATATTCTATGATTCTATCTCAATGACATGATGAGGTTCTATCTATCTATAGTAATAAAGACGAATTGTCTGTCTGCGTGTCTGTCTGCCAATAACAGAATAACCGATTGACATAAAGACATGATTTATACCTCATTGTAAAGGTCTCGCAAGAGGGAGTGTCATGGGCACATTGTTTTTGTGGGGGGCATATCTCCTATGGTGATGAGCTATGACTTAAACAAGCTCACCGCACATGTATGGTAGCTTAAGGTATGCACACAGTGTTTATGGCATATAAAATGGTTTGTGAGTGGTATCACTGAACACGCCAGCTCTAAAAACGAGTATACAAAATGTATTGAGTCAGTATCTACGATAGTTAATGAGATGACACCTAAATATGTGTGCGGCAATGTGCCGGTGTACTGGGAGGTTCCATAAGACTGGAAACAAGCAAATCTCACACCCATAATAATAATCCTTGCATTTGATATAGGGCCTTTTCACGTCTTCGAGACATCTCAAAGCGCTTCACAGAATATACTGTAAAGTGAATTGATTGTATATTTTGTGGGCGAAACGCAGCAACCAATTGCACACAGCAGCGTCCCACAAACACTTGTGGATTAAAGTGACCAAATTATAGTTATTTATTTTGAAGGTATTATTATCCCTGGAGAAGCGATCCACCAATCGACTAACAACCGAGTTCCTACTTACTGCTGGGAAACAAAGGAGTTTGGAGTAAAGTAAGGAAACTTGCCCAACATTTTGTTTCGCCCTAACCGAGGAATTGAACTTGCAAGGTGAATGCTCTAACCACTAAAGTACAGGACTCCATAGGTTTTGGGTGAAATTCTGACGGCAGTTGGTATTTGATGCCCTAACACCCCGTTGCTGGGGCCTATTCTTTGAACCAGTTGCAGCCCTTTGCGATGCTAAACGGGGATCGAAGTCGAATCAGACCCACCCCAAATGCATTCACTAACCCACTGGCTCCCAGCCTGAGCTGCGGCCCCAGCAAACCGCCACCGTGCGCGGATGTGGCCACGTGTGAGCAGCGCACTCATCGCTATTTAAACGGCTGTGACAGGCACTGCTGCTCAGGAAGGTTCGCGAGGTTTACAGGTAAGGAGCTGACCCCCATCCCCCACCCCCACCAAGGGAAAAGAGAGCGAGCGAAGGAAAGAACGGAGGAGAAAGAAAGGAGAGAAAGAGGAGAGAGGGAGGGAAGGACAAGGCGGGCGATGACTGTATGAATTCAATAGCACATTTTGTTAATCTTAAGGGATAAAGATGCCTAAGAAGCGAAGATCAAGCCTTTCAAGAAAAAATAAAAATGCCAGACCGAAGAGAGAAGGCTAATTAAATGAAACTGTAGAACAAAGAACAGCCCGGCAGGACTTGGACGAAGAAAGGCATGCAAGAACATGGCAAAATGATGCGCAGCAGCAGAGGTCACTCCAATTATCTGCGCTCATCTATGATCCAGGCAAAGATTACGGATCAGATGGCGCCCATCATACTGGGAATATGTCAAACGTAGAAGCCATGAAATGGACAAAAGAAGTTCCTTCCATGTGTTGTTCGCTTGGCAAGATGAAACCAGAGCCTTTTCAGAATCTCTGAAAAGTCTGCTGGATGGCACATGAAGTGATTCTAACCGTTTTCTAGCAAACCTTAGGAAACACAATTTGCGCTTCCAGGTGACCTCTTTTGGCGCAACTAGAGAAATTAAAGAGCCAGCTATATGCCAACATTTAAAGTGCAAGGCCAAGTGTATCACTTATGGGGATTTCTAAGCACTTTGCCTAATGATTCCCAAAATTCTTACAGATTTACTTTGTGATGAACCGAGAAGACCAAACCAAGTAGTGTGGAAGCAATGTTCTGGGGTTGAAGGAAGCTGTCATGTTGGATCTGCAAGACATGCAGTAACACAGTAACACATACACAAAGAGCTCCAAGTCCGCAATAGAAAGGATGACTGCAGAAGAATATAGAATAATCATCCATGCAGACAAGGCACGTTACAACCAAATCAAACGAGTGTGTGAGACTAACAGGGCATACAATGCCCTTCAATACCCAATCTTATTCCCACGTGGTGAAGATGGCTACCATTTCCAGATGTGGCAAATAAATCCCAGCACTGGACAAACACGGCTTGACGAAAAGATGTCTCTTTTGGCTCTTGATGCGCACAAGTTGATAAAACGTGAAATTATTTACAACATCCTTCTGCGTACAAATGACCTCTGCCATCAATTTATCGTAGACATGTGTGCCAAGATCGAAGCTGAGAGATTCCTTTTTTAACGCTTGAACCAGAAGAAACACAGGACTGAGGAGTGCATTCATAAAAGAAACAGAGGGGAGATGATGAAAACATTTTTCATATAGCGAATTGTTTGGATGTGGAATGCATTGCCTGAAAGGGCAATGGAAGCCGATTCAATAACAATTTTTTCAGAGAGAAGCAAATAATTATTTGGGGAGGACAAGTTTGCAGGGCTATGGGGAGAGAGCAGGGGAGTAGGATTGATTTGGAGAGCTCTTTACAAAGAGCCGGCGCAGACACAATGGGCCGAATGACCTCCTTCTGTGCTGTATAATTCTATGATTCTATGATTTACGCGATGCAGTTATAAACGATGGTGACCCCAGCAATGCAGGTCAACTGGTCATCTTGCCATCCAGTTTCATTGGGGGGCCACGGTTTATGCACAAAGGAACCCATGCATTGTGCTATGGGCGAGCATACGATCGACCTGACCTGTTCATCACATTCATCTGCAACTCTAATTGGGAGGAGATCAAGCAGGAACTGTTGCCTGGACAGAAGCCGCAAGACTGCCATGATCCAATAGCCAGGGTTTTTCCTCCTCAAAGTTGTGAAACTGATGGAGCTTATCACCAAAAATCAAGTGCTCGGCAAATTCCATTGCTATCTCTACACCATTGAGTGGCAAGAGCATGGTCTTCCCCATGCACACATTCTTCTGTGGCTCAAAAAAAAACGGCATAACCAAATCGACAATGTTATCTCTGTAGAACTGCCAAATCCACACTGAGACCCTGTGCTCTTCTAAATCATAAAAAACACATGATTCAGGGCCCATGTGGCCAATTCAACAGAAAATCTGCCTACTTGAAAAATGGGTCCTGCTCAAAGTAATATCCAAGGAGCTTGGTACAGGAGACCCAGACAAGTCATGATGGGTATCCTTTGTACGGTGGAGTACAGCTGGGGGTGGTGGATTCCACACAGTACTGACAAACAACAAACAGCAGGTGGAAGTGGCCAACTGTTGGGTTGTCCCATACAATCCCTACCTCTCTCGGCTCTTGAACACTCACATTAATGTTGAGTTTTGCAGCTCTGTTAAGAGAATCAAATATGTGTGCAAATATACGAACAAGGGATGCAACATTGCTGTGTTTGGACTTGAGAGGAAGGAAGCTTGAAGAGACTGGGTAACATACTACCAGATGGGCTGATATGTGAGCACCAATGAAGCAATCTGGAGAACTTTGGGCTTCCCCATACATGAGTGAAATCCAGTGGTCCAGCAACTTCAGGTTCACCCTGAAAATGGCTAAAGGGTATTTTTTTACAGTAGAAATGTTCGGGAACGTTTACTTGAACCTCCCAAAACCAAGCTAATTGCATTCTTCAAACTATACCAACAGGATGAGTCTGCAAGAATCCTTCTCTACTGTGAGGTCCCAAAGGTATTTCACATGGAACTCCCAGATCAAGAAGTGGAAGCAAAGAGTTCAAGGTACTCCTGTTGAAGGCTATCCCAGTGTCAAGTCCAGGGACGGGCTCGGTAGGGTGTACATAGTGCATCCAAACAACTTTGAATGCTATTTCCTGAGGCTTTTGGTGCACTCTGTGAGAGGCCCAACAAGCGATATGGATCTTAAAACCGTCGATGACAAACCGTCGATGACAAAGTCTGCGATACATTCCGAGAAGCATGCCACCACAGGGGTCTCCTAGAAGACAATGCTGACTGGAACCAGACATGAAAAGAATCAGCCGCGGCACGGTCTACTATCAGACTGAGGGATTTGCATGCCATCATGCTGCACATCTGCGGTCTGTCTAATGCAAGACAGCTGTGGAATAACCACAAAGAAAGCATGTCAGAAGATTTCTCTGTCAGCTCCGCAGTGCAAATCCACAAACTGAGTTGGACTACAGCGATGCCATCTTCAACCAGGCCCTCATATGCTTATAAGGCAAGCTAATGGCACCGGGGGAAAAGCATTGCCACACTATGGTCTGCCCTGTACTGACAGAACAGGTGACACCTTGGCTATTTTGCAGGAAATCAACTATAACCAAGGTGAAATGCAACACTTTGTCCAGGAGAGAGAATCGACCATCACAGAAGATCAAGCTGTAGCGTATCAAAGTATCCTTCA